GAGGATTGAAAACAAAATCGAAGCCTGATTGACACTGCACGCTGCACGTGGGATCTTGTCCAATGGTGTGACAGCTCAAAGCACCATTCTTCGGAGGCGCATACAAAGGGCAGGTCTTTTCTTAAAGATGAAATATACCATGGAAATGAGTCTAGTTTAACAACAGAACCGTATAACATATGCAGTCAGCACTCGAGCTAACTGGCCCTCACCGGCGAAGCTTCTCCCCATTTTCCACTACCCCTGAATGAGATGCTCATCCGTGGCAGGTTACCCCTCTCCCCTCTCTCAGCCTTACCTCATGATTTCCCAACTGTTCACCGTTGCTCATTTGCATCTCTAGCTCTGGGTGGAGAGAGGTAGCGTAAAAAATGTCCTGTCGAAGAACACAGCACAATGACCTGGCCAGGTCTTCAGTGCAGTTCAACCAATGTTTCCCACTGAACAAGTTTGTAATTCAAAGTAATGATTTTCTCGGATGAAACACTACGAGGCCAAATTAAGACACCAAATAAAGGGTATTCCTTGGAGTGTTGGTGTAAAATTTGACTTTCCTAGGAACTTTTATCATAATGATATGAGTTTGGTAAACTGAGATCGACAAGTAAGGTGAATCGTGTACAATTTGCTCCTACAGTCTGGATACAGTCTGGATTTTTTATAGAAAGAGAGAACGTTGGAACCAAAAAAAAGATGCCTTTGAAAGAAATCACAATGATCTTTTTAGTTGCCCTCAGAGAACATTTGTCTGATAAAACAAAAAAGGGTATGGAGGTAAGGGTGATATGGAGCCGTGCAATATGCAGGTTGCACCGTGAATATCGGTGCAGCCTGCATAGGTAAACGTCCAAGCTTTAGACCTTAATTGGAATTAATCTACTCAGGCTCGCATAGGACTCCCAGAAATGAAAAAAACCCTTTGTGCCAGAAAGATTTTATGATGGAGGCACTGTTACCCCGTAAGGAGGTATTCATTCAAACATTCGTTTAACTTTTAAGCAAGATACTCACTCTTGAGGGTTATTCTGAATGAACAGTTCTTGTTCACGTTTTTGCCATCGTCTACAGTATAGACAACTTCGCTAGAACTTGGCACACTGAACAGGTCACCAGATTGTCTGTTAGAATTGATGTTTGGTGGATTGCCAGAGTTATCCGTACAATTGGGCCTGTCCCAATTGACCCTGATTTCAATTTCGGTAGCGTTGTCTATGGTGATGTCGGTCGGACAGTAGCCGCAAGTTGGTGGCTCGGTATCTACAAAAACGAGAGCAGTGCAATGATATTGGATAGACTCGATTTTAGTGCGGGATCTTGACATGCAAATTAAGATTAAATGGGAAGTAGGCTCCGCTCCAAAGAAACGGTGGAATATCTTTTTTCGCCATTCAAAAGTATGAATGGCAATTAACTACTCACACTGTTTTAAATTGGCGTAAGTTGTGCTTAAAATCCGACAATGGAAGCCTGCATTATGAAAACTGAGGAACCTAGACCCATAACGTCCCAGAAATGAACTGAAATGGCAGGGACCACCACGTGTGTCTCGCAAACAGCTGCTTTTCTGGTAAATTTTTTCACCTGTTCGTCCATGCAGTGATATTCTGTAAGGTTACTGCACACATATAACAATAAATTTAAGGTCTCTTCTTTCCGTGCAAGCAACATCTTTATCTGTCCCGTCCGACTTGTATATGGAAAAATCGTGGTCACATCAATATCTGCTGGTTGTTGAACACAGCCCTGGGCGGCAGGTACAACTTATAGCGAATCTTTAATTCTATATAATTTAATACTTTCGTGTTCCCTCTGGCTGTCAACGGTACACTTAGTCTTTTTATATGCAAATTTATTGCGCCACGTACACAACTCTTTTTATTCTCTTGTGCATACTCTTACCAGTCATGAAAAAGCTAGCACTCACCTGCAACAGCAACGGTAAAGGAGCACGAACCAGAATTCCCTGCGGCATCTGTGATGACATACTTCACACTGTTTGTACCGATACCAATCAGCTTAGGAAGACTTGTGTCTACGTTCTTGTCATTTATTGTCAAGACGACCGAGAACGAGTCAACGGTTATTCCTGGCTCGTCCGCTATTAAAGAATTGTCGGTCCAACTTACACTCCAGGTTACTGTCGCTACGCTTTTTCCTGGGTCGTTGTTTACCTCCAAAAGTGACGGGCAGCTGTTGCCAAATGAAGGTGGTTGAAAATCTGAGAAAGAAGGGGGAATATTGATTTTACAATGTAACTTCAATGGCGTAACCAGGATTTTTCAAAGAGGGGGTGGGGGGAGCGGGTCGCACAAAGTCAACCATAGGGTACTCACCAAATTGTTAAGTCAACCTCCACGCTATGTTCTATTAAATGTGAAAAAAAAAAAAGCTAACTAAAAGGGGAGGGGAATCACGGGCACTCCTGAACCCCCTCCCCCAGCTACACCCTTGAACTTAGTGGAAACACTACATGATGTTTTGCACCAATTTGAGCGCCGTAGGTAATCACTTCACAACAGGCAGATTGAAGATTGAAGAGGAAAAAAATCATCGAGGAAAGAAGATGGACATGGATAATAAAGATTGCCCCTTCAATCGCCTAAAGGGAATGATCATTAATTTAAAGAACTCCTGATTTTCAGACAAATTCTCCCTATAAACGCCATTAGCAACTTAAAAAAACCGTTGCGGAGAATATGAATACTATTGCTAAATGTAAAGGGCTAACACAGATTCTAAATAAAGAACTTGGAAGATTACGTTACATGCATGATAATTCAAAAATAGGTAGCATATTTTCTTTGTAGAATACAAAAAAATATACCTAAGCATGCCGGGCTAGTTTCCCTGTACGTCCAAGTCCCATTTACCAAGCAGGATCTTGAGTCAGACCCAACTGCTGTTGGTAGATAATTAATGTGGTAACCAGATGGACATATCAGCTCACAGCTCGATGGGTAAGTCATGGTACCATTGTCACAGCTTGATGGGTTGTACGTACCAACTGGCACTTTGGGTAACGCAGGGCATGTAATCGCTTGAAAAAGTAAACTTACAGTCATACGCCTGGTTACATAAATAATAAAGGTTTATAACAATGATAATAAAAATAACAACTGTTACGATAACATTTCGCAGGATACATTTCACTATTCTCTATGCGTTGACAAATTTAGAAATAATTCATTCAAACAAATAAACATAGGGAATGAACATAGTGTCTTAGAACCCCAATTGGCAGGAGGCAGACTGGTTAGCTGTACATCCATACAAAGAGCAGGCAAGGAGTTGGACTCAGGGCAACTGAAAACAAATCTGGCGAGTAGCGGGGCGGAGGGCGAGAACCTGAGACTACCAAACAAGACCAGCGCCCCAACAAGCCGGCCACTCCGGCCGTCTCCACAGAGGCAGAGTGGCCGATAATGTACTAAGCTGAAAATCTATGTACTTGATAATCTCTCATTGGGTTAAGATTGTTTCTACAGCGTCTCAATCAAGTAACTGTTTGAATCTCTTACGTTCGCAACTGGGAGCTGTTGGTGACCATGTCTTATCCAGCTGACATGTGTTGAATTCATTTCCTACGCGGTAGCGGTCACTTCTGCATGTGAAACTGCATTTTGTTCCATATACTAAGTCTGCCACTTCGTTTCCGTGTTCATCGGTGCATGTACCTGATGGAGGCTCTCCATAATCCACTTTTTGCGCTGGGCACCTAATAACTATTGACGAATCAGCGACAACAACGGTTTAGGTTAGACATGTTTTCACTGTTTTAGAAGTCTTATTTGTACAAAACTTAGCGTCGTTGGCTTGTCTTCTACGTTGCTTATGTTTCCGTTACATCATAATCATAGGCGGAATGGCCGTCATACACGAGCATGCTGTCTTTGATTAGCTCTCTTTTTGATAGTTATCTTTGGAGAGAATGATAGAAATATCTTGTTGTTTCCTTAGGATACGTCCTATTCCAAAACATGCCAATTTTGAAGAAAAAAAAAAGGAAATGCCCGCTAAGGACGAAATTTCATATTTTAGGCTGTTAATAGTCCACCCTCCCTTCCTTAAGGAACACGCCCTTGAGACCAAAGGGAAAAAATGCTACTGTATAGCGAAAATCCGAGTTTAGAAAAAAATTATCTGCGTTCTATTACCTATGCTGCAAACTGACTGGCTTCGCTAACCGCCATCCAATCCGTGCGGTGATAAGGAATGAATAAAGAGTGCAGTTTTTCATTGCGTGCGGTTACAAAAAAAGGAAGAAAAAAAACGTGGGCCCATCTTTTCGTTAAGTTCTGGATGACTATTAGATTATTCGCTCTCAATTTTACTTGTGTGATGGTTCACTCGAGCTTCTTCCTCATCGACGACAACATGGTTGAAATCTGGAGCTCTTAGCGTAATTGTGATTAACCTTTTGATATATGTGATATTTCACTTTACCTGTGCATGTCCAAGGAGTCCCACTATAGAAAATGTTATTTTCATCGTCGACAGTGCATGTTCTTGTGGGTGTTCCTCCTAGTTCAAATCCCTCATTGCACGCAAACGTGCAGCTTGATCCGTACGTGCGATAGCAGTTTCCTTGTAGGGCGCCGTTTTCGGGAATTGTCAGTGCATCACAACTGCGGACTGTCAAAAGAAAATAACTTTATTGGACAGGAGCCGAAAGATCGGAACGCCTTACTTCCATAGTGCACTAATATGTAGTTTTTCTTTTTGTTATTAACTGACTTTTTATTATTATTATTATTATTATTTTTTTTTTTTTTTTTTTACTTCTGCGAAGAGCAAGGACTGCTCGTAGTCTATCACGATAGCATGGATCACACATGACTTACGTGTACAATCGTTTCCGTTTTCAGGTGTTCCTTCATATCCATCAAAGCACTTGCAATCACCCCTTGTAATGCTGCCGATTTTCGAATGACCTGAGTTGACAGGGCAGGCTGTACACGAGAGTGCGTAGCCAAGGAATGACTTGTAGGTGGAGGCTGGACATGCTAGTTTACAATGAAAAATGGAAAGAATTCACGGTCAGACTTATCGTTTGAAGAATTCTGGGATTAAGCCCTTTAAAGGCTTTTAACCTGGCTCAAGGCTAGAGGAAATATTTACGCTTCCATCTAAGAATATAAAGCATCGCTTCTACATTATGAGGGCAGTCACAGTCATTGCAAAAGTAAGGTTTGATTTGATCAATTGTGCGTCCTGCGGGATATCATTGTATTTCAGCTTCGTGGTAAACGTAGAGTTTGAGGGGTTTTTTTTAGCATAGCCAGGTGTATCTAGAGATGTATGAGGAAAATTCTCATTAAAGGACATTTATTATTCTGGCTGATGACATTTCTTTTTCTCAGCTAATAATTCGACGACCAGGCTAAAACTTTTACCATTTTTCATAAGTGTGTTCATCTATCGAAACTTCCTCCAATTTGGCCACCCGTTCCATTTTTAAAGCTAATTTTGTTTTCTTTGCTTTCAAAATGACCCAATTAGTCCAAAATAGCTGCACATTACTTGAGACTTATCACACAGAAAGGGGGGCGCAGTATCTTTTTAAACTACTCAGTAAGTACCTTTACACTGGCCCACGTATCCAGATCCCGCGAATCCCGCGGGACATGAGCACTTGTAGTCGCCATACACCAACCCGCAGGAGCAATAAGCGGAGGGATCACAATTGCCGTTGCATTTTGACGTGTCCACATTTTCAGTTTGCCATAAGTATTCATAAGGGTCTAAAAGACAAGGGAAACGTTTTAGTTCATATCTGATGTCTGATTAACAAACAAATAAAATAACGTAACATTATATATTGCGTATTTATTCATCTTTATGTAAAATGTTTTTCATATCATGATCGCTGTAAATCCATCATGACATGGATGCAAACCTTTTGTACATATGATGAAGTGCTATGATTTTAATCTTTAAAGCGTATGAAGAGATTTGCTCTTTGACTGTAAATCATGGTAATATAGGATTGGAGTCCAATACTCGTGATTAACAAATCAGACTCCCAATTCGCGTTCGTCTGATTTTGTTTATTACTCGTATGATTACTGACAGAATTAAATGACAAGATGTCCTGTTACAAGTTAATCATAACTGTTAAAATTTCCGAAAAAAAAGTCAAATACATTTAGGACAAACATCTCCGGTAGAGAAATGTCTAACGTAAAAATGTCTTCAATTTGGAAATTCCCTAATGCTTTTTTTTTTTCCTTTTTTTTTTCTTTTTTTAATAGGTGGTTGTTGCTATGGTTATTGTGATCAATTCTATTATTGGTGGCCATGGATTTTGCTGAGTGAACCTAGTATGATTGGCTGCTTCAACTGTCCGATTACAGCCAACTGTCAGATTACAACTGTTCAGAATGATCAGTGAAAAAAAGCGGCTAATGTATTAATCACATTTGAGGAAATTGTAATGGTTACGATAAAGGTTTAAATCGTATGAAATGTTCGGCTCGATCGTTTAATTTCGTAAATCCAGGTCACAGATGTGCATCACTAGTTTTTTTTCCTATGTTTTGGTTAAAATTGCGCAAGACTAAACTTACCTCCTCTAATGTAGGTTGCGAGTTCCGCAAATTCGTTGAAGTCGTGCAAGAAAAAGGCGTGCTTGTCTATGCTATTCTGATCAACAAGGCTCCTAAGGTTTGCCTGATTAACCCCATTTCCAACTCCTATAGCAAAAATCTCAACAGTGCCTGTCACCAATTCCCGTGCTCTTTGCAAAGGACTGGGATCATTGTAAGGATAATTCCAGTAACCATCGGTGAGGAGAATAACGACAGTTTTGATCTCAGTCAGGGGCGTTCTCTTATACGCGTTGTTGAGGCAAACCTGCCATGCTAGCTCAAAAGCATCTCTCATGTTCGTCATATACCCATTAATACTCTGCTGCATTGGGTTGAATATTTCGTTAAATGTACACTTGTTCTTCGTTGGCTTAGGGTCTGAAATCTGGGTGATGAACTTGCTAGCTGAGGTTCCAAACGGAATCACCTCCACGCGGTTGGCTTGCATACCTACGCTCATCTCGTTGAGCAAATTCATGACAAATTTTTTTTCTTCGTCGAACTCGCTTCGGTATAAACTGCCCGAAGTGTCAACCAAGAACACAATGTCGGATTTCTTACTCTCAAAAGCATTGACTGAATTCCTGAGATTCAAAAGCTCATCCTTAGAGACTTTCAGCCAATCTTGAGCAGTGATAAATTGTAGAAACGCCAAAAATAAAAGTACGATGGGGAAGTTCATTTTCCCCATATCGAAATCCACGTTTGGTCAAACGGACAGTATGACCTAGAGTAGAACTGCGCGCTCCATTAACTCTGAGAGTAGTTCGTTAAAACTCAGCTGGGTACACTAATTACAGAGGAATTCTATCCCAATCAGGTCTTCAGCAGCTATGCAAACAATGCTCAATCAACCTAAACAACACCAGTTGTGAATTTCTCAGGGATGTTTCTTCGTTCGTGACATTTAGCTTATTTAATGACTAAGGCCGATACTCAATTTTTGTAATGAATTGCGCGAGATCACGTTTAACAGTTGGAAAACGTAATGTTGTAAATGTAAGTGAAATATTATAGTTCACATATATTATTTTTCATCATCGACGCACTGTCTTCACATTAAAATCTAACTATTTTCCAGTGTTTCTAAATAAAAAAGGAACTCGTTTTAAAGCAAATAGTGCTATAAATTTTCTGCAACTATCAGAGAAATTAAGCGGAGACGTTTCTGAAAAAAGACGGCAACCTAAAGATGAATAAAATTACTTCTGTTACGCTTTGACGTCAATGCATCGACTATCATTTTATCTTATTCATCATTTTAGCATTTCAACCAAATTTTGCAGACCAAAAAGTTGTAGGGAACACTAGAAATAAGAACTTTTATCCTCCGGATGCCGTCCGCGACTCAAAATCGTTTGTCACTAGGCTCCCAATGACGTCAACTTTTTCGTGACAAAATCATTGGATGAAAAATCATTGGAAAAACTTTGAAAACCGTCTGCTTAATACAGGGTGACTGCTTACTACGGTGCCGCTTAATGCAAGTTCGACTGTATTTTTTTGGATCCATGCAAATAAGACTTTGGTTGCATGCGTTCCTGACATGTAAACTGGGATTTATTTCGTTCGTATTCTCTTCGTTATGAAAGGTTAATCCTCTATATTCCAGCCATGAAGCTGGCAACAACCTTTTCATTTTCTGCTCATAGCAAACTGATGTTAAACGATATCAGGGCTGTCAGGTAGCTTAAAAAAACATTCTCACAAATAAAACTGTTTCAGAATTCAACACAAACTTAAAACATCTTAGCTCCACTGCGGATGACTTTGATGTCAGAAATACTATTGACTATCCAAAGAAAAACTCTCTTTTCACGTCAAATGAGCAGATTTTTTACTACTGCTTGTGTGAAATGCAGCCTTAGATATCTGGCTGACTTTAAGATAAGATGAATTCTAAAAAGATTTTAAATAGCTTGACTGTATGTAAAAAGCGAATGAAGTGGATTCGTGTTTAAGAAGCCTTCCTTGCGTTACTTAATCAAGATTTTAATTGATTCCTTCCTCTCTTTGTAATTATTTATTATTTTGATAAACGTCATTTTACCAATTTGAATTTTCAGTTGACACTGATATTAACTGAGGCTTTTTTGTTTCGGTGTTATTTTTTCAGTGTCTAAAACTTAGGGGTTAAAACAACGAGTGTTTAGGATCGTTTTCGCCAGGTTTGGCGCACGATATGATTGCTGACAAAGCATGAAAAGTCTACGTATATTGACGCAGGAAAATATCATACAAATACCAATTGTAAATTCCGAAGATAATGGCAGTTTGTGTAACGTTCGGCACGTTTGTGAGACTGCGTCCGGGGGACTGCGGCATAAAATTTGTTCATTCATAACGAGATAGTTGGTTTGTTTGGCAAACATTTTTCAGGTGCACAAACAGGAAGAAGTGAATAACGTAATTTTATAGTATAGTTTCATATTTACCTTCCATAAAGCCGTTAATGAAAATACAGCCGAGTGTATGCTTAATCAGCACAATGAATTTGAATAGTCCATTTTGAACGAAAAAAAATACCAGTGATCTGACAATTGTGGAAGTTATGATTATGAAAAAGCAGTGCTTGTAAAAGATGAATAACGCTCAGCCAACAACTTTTGCATATCTCCATATTATTAATGAGAAAGAGGAAAAGGAGTTGGTTTTCCATTTGTTGACTTTTATATATCCATAAAGCCATAAATTAGCCTTAACGAGAAGCTGGAAGCCCAGATTCGTGCGAGAAAAATCTTTTTTCTTTCGTCGGCATTGTGTGAAGAATTCAGCTGAACAAAGCCGGTACTGCTCTTTCGCATTTTCGCTTACCAAGTGAGCGGTTATACAAACTGAATTAAGAAAAATCTAGATTCTTCATAGTCTCTGTGGTACATTTATATGGCTGCTATGACGTCAAGCAAAAACGAGAGATCAACTTGCTAAACGGAAATATTTAATGAGACTTCAGAACTGTTAGAAATTGATACATATCACAACTCTTGGCTACTGTTTCTGACAATCAATCGCCAATATCACGAACATATCTTGATCACTGTATGGATATCCAATTTTTGTGAAACATCAACGCTTGAAGCTTTTCCTTGACTTAACAAATTTTTACAGTGACTTGCTCTTTTAAACAAAAATCAATCTTTGTTTCAATACTGGAGAAATTTCAAAATGGAAGGCGCTTTCCTCTTAAAGTTTTGACCCACATAATTTTGAAACATGAAAAAACCAAGTTTTAAAGCGACTGCGCTGGAGTCCTACAAGATACTCAGCCCTTACTATCTGATATGGCAGTAATCATAGTAACATAGATGTCCTGAATCGTGCAAAGGAAGAATTTTCATGAGCGCAAAAAGAAGGAATATGCAGCGTGACGCGACATGATGTGAAATTGACCAATCAAAGCCTTTGTATTATCGACAAGATGAAACAACATCATGCAACAGCTGCCTAAATCTCCTCCATCTGAAGTCGAGAAGCAGCTGCTTCTTTCACACATTGAAAATTTTAAACTTTTTTTCAAGATAAATTACTCAAAATTATATCTCATCCACAGTGTTTTAAATGAAAAATATCCGCAGCTTTTCCACTTTCATCCTTGGTCCTATGACACTTGAAATGTTTTTCGACTTATAAATCTTTTGGTAAAAGATAGTGCGTTAACATCCTCATGAGTAATTAAGATGTGATTTATAGTGAGTAAGTCAATACATTGAAGGACATAACTGATGAAAAATTAGACAAAAAAAAATCTAATGTCTTCAAGGTCACAGAAAGAAACAGAGCGTTTTTTCAATTTCAAACAGCACATACCATGGAATCAGTAAAGTAAACTCATGCTACAAAATTAAAACTAGTCCATTCAAATGCCCAACACTCTATTTTGTTACTGTAAGACTAATATCATTTCTATTGAAATTAGGACACGTTTTGAAGTCAACTAAGTTGAAACCTTGACAAACACATAGGGAATGTATGGAAGTTTGGTTTTGTTCATTTTCTTGTGAATCCAAACATCATTACAGTTAGGCTTAATAGGAATATCTTATAAAGGAAATACATTTTTTTACTGTTAATTTCAATAAAGAAACAAAATTTATGGTAATGAGCATACCCCATGGCAAGCTGAGTACACAAAAGTTTTCCAAGTCGATCCCATCACCCATGCCTCACTCTTGCGAGACAGCAGAATCTGCACTCTCTTCAAGAATTGCACCGGACATCAGCTAAACAAGGTTCACTGGAGTGCATTAAATTTCACGACCTTAAGCGACACAAGATGAAAATCAGCCTCGTGAGTTGTCTTTTACTCTTTGCTTCTGTAGTGTTTGTGAAGGGAAGGTATCTCACGGAAGAAGACTTGTCAGAGGGCTTGGAAGATGAACTCAATGAACTTGAGCCATGGCAGCTTGAAGACCCACACATGAGACATAGGCCAAAGCCAGTAAAATCTCTGAATGTGAGTGATCTATGTTTCATTTCATTTTATTTCACATTGTCTTGATTCGGGGTTTATCTTATTTGAAAGAGCTTTTACTACCAGTTACCTTCGACTAATGCTGATACTGTTCGAAAATGTGTAAGTAATGTTAATACTTTATGTTATGGTTAGTGCTGTGGGCATTGCTGCTTTTCTAAGAAAATTAAATATTTTAAGTAATACCGCCATTGCAAGTAATGTTAATACTGGGCACATGTGTTAAGACCATATTATAACAATCCTTCGACTGCACTGTGTTTACTTAAAGTAGGCTTCTGGCCGACATTTAGGAGAGCAATTCTCTAGGATAAAATCAAAGGCGTTTGTACTCTTCTCCTTTTAACTTGGACTGTCTCCATTAACACTTACTTTTTTAAGCATTTTAAAGTGTTTTCTTTTCTCTATTAAATGAATCTTGCTAATCTACCTTATAATGTATATTCTCGGTGATCTCACTCAAATCAGAATAGATTTATGAAGACCTGCAAGTTTTTTTTTTATAAAATTTTGGGTTTCTCGTATACCTGATGTAACCTCCATTTCATTCTAACAACAGACAATAGGTACGATACCAAAGAGAAATGCTGTTTTCTCGATCGCCATTTTAAAGGAAGGTTTATTATCCTGTTCTCACGTCAAAGTAAATATTCAGAGAAGGACTAAGGCGAGGCTAATCATGCACTATTCCATTTTCCATAGGGTGCCGTAGAACTTTTGTTGGGTTGTTTCCGAGAAGAAGATGGTCAGATGAAAGAGAAATGTAAAAGGAAATTTAGAGAAGCACTGCCTAACAATCACCCCGATGTAGAGAGAGTGGTAAGTAATTTTATTTAAAGTAAACTTATTTCTCAGACACCGTCTCTTCAAGAATCACTCGATTTCTGCTGCTCTACGACCTTGACATCTATCAAAGTTTATATGATAAGCTGATTCCTATTCGTGATCTATTGGAGGACAGACCCGTAACTGAGGTCACCATAATAAACCATTTTTATTTCTTTATTATATAAGAATGGGCTGCCCCCCCCCCCCCCCCTCGTGTGCTAATTATTGAACGGACGTACCACTAGATGGTATCTATTTGTTAAACTTTTGGCAATACTTAAAACCTCAGTGATCTAAGTCAGAAATCCTATATATATATGCAACAAATTATACCATACCATAAACTACACTTCTCAAGACTGAACTCAACTATTCCACTACATAATTTGGTTTTATCAATTGAGTTGATCGATAATGTAAATTGGTCACCGTAAAGAGGTTTAACGCTGACGTTTCTGACGTTAATCCTTCGTCAGAGCGAATGGCGAAAAGCCCACGCTTGAAACGTCAGCTTTGAACCTCTAGTGGTAAGTCTGATAAAACTAACTTATCTTGTCAATACTCCACCACCGACACAGCACTACAGTTTCCTTAAAAACTTACCCCATTTATTCCACTCTATAATTCATAATTTCTGGTCTGTTCTTTCCTTTTCTTTTTCTGTTTCATTTCTTCTTTTCCTTATTTCCATCCTTTACTTTTCCTTTTTTTCTTTGGGTTACCTTGCGCAGTTATGTTCGTTTCTTTCCCAGGTTGAATGTGCCGAACAAAGTTTTCAGGAATGTATAGGAGCACCAAAGGGGCACAAACCTATGAAATGCATGCAGGATTTCAAAGACTGCATGAAAAACGAAGCAGATGGCTCTGGAATGTAGTTGAAATTTCCTTTTTAGCCATAGTGTACACTATGTGTCACAAACACCATCGAGGAATAGCAAGTTATAAGTTGTGTTTATAGTGTAGATGAAGACAATTGTCTACAGCTAAATAAATCTTCAAAACAGAAACCCCTGCGTAATATTTTTGCGTCAATCAGGGCTTATTGTGACTTGCTCTCAATGTACAATATATCGCCTAGAAAGAAAAGATTCATTTAAAGTAAAGTTTTTAAATCTTCTAAAGTTGCTGCTTAGCGAGGGCTTTTGGTAGCTCTCGAGACGACAAACATGAGCTGGGCTAATAGCCTTGTGGCTAGTAGTTTTTTCCTTTTTTAGTAAATTTTTTAAATGTTCTATAGTTGCTAGTTAGCAGAGGGCTACTGCCAGTTCTAGAGACGATGAAAGCGAGCTCAGCTTATGGCCTTGTTGTTATCAAGTTAGACTCACAAAGTATTTACACAAGTCACGTACCTCTCACATTTAATCTCCTTAGTAAAGAGCATAATGATGGATACTGGCTTTTTAACGGGAAAGCCTTGCTCTATTACGGAGAGTTCTCATGTGACGGGCCATTAGCCCTTGCAGGAAGATCAGTATGCTGCAAAAACCGCGGGTAACCTTTGGCAGTGTGTACCAATGTGGCCATTATGGCATAATAACACGGGATAAATGTCTCCCGGAACTAAAGGCTTTGTGAACCGTTCAAAAGAGTTCAACGTGGCACAATACTATATGCGGGGTGCCCCAATTTTCATGAATAACCTTCAACATCGCAATTCTTATTAATTTGCATTCTCTCTAAAAGTGCTTGAACAAATTCATTCCATACATACTTGGCTTTCCACACCGATTTGAGAAAAGAGATGGCAAAAAACTTTAGACATAACATTTGACATGAAACACGAAGTTTAAAAAATTTGGCTCTTTTTGGTATATTTGTAGCCAAATCCGGAGAACTTGTCAGCTAGTGATCTAATTCATAGGCTGAAGAGATTTGAAAGTGTAAAAGAACTTGGGAAATAAACGTGCCTTTCCC